GGTCTAAATTAGATCGATAATACTAGGATGATTACTTAGGTGGACGTTTCTTATAAAGCTTTTTCTCGCACATTCAGCTGTCATTTGTAATTGTGTTGTCTCACACATTTTTGATTCAGCGGCGATTCAGTGCGGTTATCCCGGACTCTCTGAGTCCTGAAGTCTACTAAAATAGCTCTCAAGCACATGATGTCATTTACAAAAGAGCTTCGTTTGCACTTTCGGTTTCAATTTCCTTTGTTTTAAATATAAAAGTCTTTAGGTCTAAATCGTCACATCCATTTTCGAATGAGAACAACTTTGTTAAACTAGAAGCCTTGCTGGTGCCCTCGTGAAGTCGAAACAGTCGGTCTGGCGCGAGTTGTGTTGTATTTTCGAACGCTGCCTCAGGGTAAGTTTGAATGCAAAATGCAAACAATAGAGGATTTATAATCCTTGAGATGAGGCTCATACGTCAGTTTGTTATTGCACGCGAACTGATTTTTAACTGGTCTTTTCACCTTCGTTGCCAAAAAATTAATGAACGTATCCCAAGCTGCCTTCAAGTCACTAAATTAGTGATGAAGGAATAAGAATGAAGAATTTAGGTCAGACAAATGAGCAAGAACAAAATTTTGCTCCTTTAACAGTATTATGCTGAGCTATTCATCGGAACTGTGATTTTTGGGGTAATACTTCTGGAATAAACAGCAATATTACATGTTGATGCTTTCATTTGAATCCTACAGTAACGATAATTCTGAATTCAGTATGATATCTCATCTTCACAAAAGTCTAAATGAGCAATCTTTTCTAAACTGACCTAACTTCGTTTAAGAAAGACGTCACTTAACATGATCATAACTTGTCGTAATGGTATTGCGGGATATTTCCATTTGTCTGGGTCGTATTTGTTCGCCGAAAAATAAAATTCCTTTCGAAGGCTAACAGCACGACGAAAATCACCTTCGGGTAAACTAGGCAGAATTACCAACACTCCTTAATTAAATTAGAGAGACAAAAAAACCAACATGAGCCTTGCACCTATTCCTTGATCCTATTAGTAAGCATTCAGTTTTTCTCTGATGATCTCCAATCCCACCCCTGTAAGTGCTAAAGCTGACTGATATCCCTTCCCTTGAGAGTTTCGCTCTTTCATACTATCACATATCCCCTCAAAATAAATAAAAAAGGAAAAGATGAAAAATCCTCTGGCAGCTTTGGAGGGGTAAGGAAGCCCTCCACCCTCTTCTAAATCTGGATCAAACTATCCTTTCTGTGTCTTAATTTCAGATTTTTCCGTAGGTAAAGGAAGAAAAATGTGGAGACATCTGCTCACGGAAACTGTGCCGCTTTTGACAGGGCCGTGTCGGACAGCTGGTGTTTCAACGCTATCGCGACATACGGTAAGTTCAGAAACAAGCACATGTCCAGAATTCATAAGTTTTGAAAACTCACCGTCCTTCTTGGGTCCTGAAAAAATCGCGCTGGGAAGCATGAGTGGGGCGGGGGGAGGGGAAGCATGGGTGGGGCGGGGGAAGGGGGAGCATGAGTGGGGTGGGGGGAGGAGGAAGCAAAATGTCCAGCGTGAAATTATTATACTGATTCTCTGACGCAACCGCGGCAGTTGTAATCTACACCTGGGAACATGACACAAGAATGAGGTGATATTATCTATGCTTTTCGAAAATCAACCAAGTTCATGATATCTGGCGTAAAATTACCGTGAATCATAGAAACAAGTCCACCGCCAGGGACGTGACCTGAGTTCGAGATTTACAG